AGAGCTCCCTCCTCCTTCATCCCATGACCTCCCATCCTGTCCCCCCTGCCCCCATCTCTAGTGCCTGCCACATGTGGGTAAAATTGGATGTCTACCTACTTAGATATTGGGACATTTGATCCTTACCTGGAAGTGAGTGCTTGATAGAAATCAGTGGAATTGGCCTCCAAGTAATTCAGAATGGAAAATGAATTGGCTGAAGTTTCAAAGTTTCACCCTAGACTCAAAGATCAACTGCTTAAGTGTCAGAACATGTTCAACAGCAATGAGAAAAATGAGCATCAGAAACAGCCAATTTTCTATGGAGAAGACCCATTTGGCCATTTGCTTACCCTGAACTCAGGTTTATGACATTTCACAGAGAGCTGGGATTTCTGCAATTGTCACAGGCTGTATTGAGGCTCCTGGCATGTTAACAACACAGATTTTGTATAAAACCTAGTGGCAAGTTTGCTCTATTTTTTTCTTGCCTAGAAATCCTAGTACAGTAGTGCTATTCCCCAATACTTGCACCTGATAGTTTTAAGCTTCTCTGTCTTCTGTCCTGGATGTCCAGGAGATGATGATCCTTGTATACAGGTACTTGGCTTATTTTTCAGTGCTTTCATTATTCTGCTTATAAAACACTTCCTTGAGGAGGCAATGGTCCCAGTGAAATGAGTGGGACTTCCTTCTCAGATTACAGTGAGGACCATGCTGTAATGCTCCTTATAATGAAGGTGTTGGACTAGAATTGGAAATCCTATTGTAAGGGTTTCTTTCTTTGCTATGTATAGTTTGGGACTCTAACAAAGATACTCGAATGCACCAGGAACCTGTATGGTTTGTTATCAATGACTGGCAGCCAAAGGAATAGGGGGAGTGGAGACATTCAGTGAGGCTTTATGTAAATTAACATGACTGGTTGGTGGATCAGCATACTTGCTGTTAATCATAAACTATACACACACGTCCCAATTATCACAGATTTATTTAGGTTCAATTGTAAATAATACTCATGTCAGGAATAAATTGCTTGTATTTGTTTTGGTGGGGTTTTTTGTTTTTTGGGAGGGGGGCTACAGAGAGCTTTATATCTAAATCATCTTTGACTAAATAAGTTTGTTTTAATTTAATTCTCTTAACAGCCATTCTTCCTGGAAGAAACATGTTAACAAAACCAGAGGATCTTAAGGAGTACAAATAGTATATTTTACAATTTCCACCATATGCCACCAACAGTTTTTATTCATTTGTATAATTGGACTTACTCTCTTTGTAACCCTTCCCAGTTAAATATATACATAAAAAAGAATGCTTTCATTATGGCCAGGTCAAAGGAGAAATATTGGCTTTTTTGGCTTGTTAAATTAAAAAAAGAAAAAAAATATTTTAATGTATATTAAGTCAATATTCAATGAAAAACGATCTAGCTGGTTCGTTCTCCTTTTCAAATTTAAATTACAAACTCTTTGGGATATTTTTCTTTTCTTGTTGGTGGAATAATAAACAGCTTACAACAAAATGTATTTTTTATCAGTACACATTAACCTTTACAGCCTATATCATCAACAGAGATACCTATTTAGAGAGGATTGTAATTATTATTATTTATTTGTGCCCTGACTTTTCTCTGGTAGCTCAAGGCAGAATAAATAGGTTTTCCCCTAATTTTGTTCCTACAACAATAACCTCTTCTGAAAGAGAAGGATTAGCATGAAGTTTCCCAGTGTGCACAATGGTTATTTGTGAATTAACACACACACACACACACACAATTTTAAATACACATGTGTGCATAGGCAAATGCATTACAACAGAGTGAAACAGCTTGTTAGCTATGTCTACTCTATAACATGTGGACAAGCATACTATTTCTAATAATTATAGCAGAGAGAAACTGAAAGATGGAGACTGGGGAAATGATAATTTTGATTCTGGATCTAAAATGCATAAAAAGCCTCATGGTTCTTACGGTTATTTGTGAACTTGAAATGGATCGCCTGGTCCAAGTGCAACACTTCAGCTACTATACTGTACTGGTTGTACTTTGAGTCCAACATTTTCTTAGTATCCTGATACTTTTTTTTGCAATTGTTCTCAACATTATATTCTAAAACAGGATAGTGAACAATCTAAAAGTTTATGGTTTTTCTATTTATTACTTGGAATGCTGTAAAGACAATTACACAGGAACAATATGAATAGATACATGGTTTGATAAAGATATATATTTAAATATACAATTAAATATATAATGTAACCAAGTTAGTTCTGGCACAGAAAAAAATATACCATTTCTAACATGAAAGCTAGCAATTATGTTACCAGTTGAAATATGGGGTAAGTTTTTGCTCTAACCATTTGCTGAAAAAAGTTTCAATAAGTTTGGCCTATTATTCATGGTGCTGAAGAAGTGCGAAAACATTTGTATCCAGAATTACCTTTTCTCTGCAACATTCTAATGTACAGAATATATTCAAATATGACTAACAAAAGGGAATGTTGGAATCACCAGTGTACACTAGGTTCTCTGTTAACCTAAAAAGAATGATATAAGGAAAACATGTAAGAGGTTACGATCCACTAAAATATACAGTATAGCATAACTTTTCAATGTTATGGTATGTAACATAGTCTTTGGGGGCATGGGGCTGTATGTGCATGTATACTAATTTCATATATGCAGACTTGGAGTTCAAAATGCAAAAAGAAAGCCCCGCTACAACCTATTAATCTGGGACCCATCATGGCTGTGATTTGCCCTATTTCTGAGTGGCGAAATCTTAAGAGTTTTAGTCTTGTTTTCTTTTCTTTTTCTCTTGTCAAGGGCTACTGAATTTTTAGTTGTCATACAAAAGCTAGAAGTTAAACAGGAAGAGTATTTTCTTGCCCTGGAGAGAAACATTCACCTATTGAATTATTTAGGACTATCATAATTGCACTACAAAAATCTGGACACCCATTAGATGGCATAACATAAAAATCCAACTCTTTGCTGCCATTTAATGATCATCTTTAATTATGTTTTGGGATAGGATAGGAAAGCATTAGAATTGTTAGATGTCATCTAGTTGTTAAAGATACAAGAACTCTGCAAGAAAACTAGCTTTCAGGTTCTTAGAAGAAGGCAGACTTTCTCACTGTACCGCAGGTGATTTATAATCTGTTATATTCTTGATCTGTAGTAGAGCAGGCCTTTTTTGTTGACCAAAGGCGGTGCTTAATACTGGGGCAACAGAGGGCCACCAAGTAGGTGGGGCCACATCACACAGGCTGGCAGGACTGGGTTGGAGAGTTTTGGATCTCATAGTTTAATTGGTTTTCCATCTCAACTGTACTTTCAGTTTTCAGCAGACATTCTCAAAAGGGCCTCCAAGGCTGACCAAAAAAGTACCCAAGGGTTGCATGCATGTGAAAGTTTCATTCTTACACTGATTTGGTAGTCCAGAAACACAGAATATATGGATTCCTAACTAGGGAAGTGTTTTGTGTTGCCAGTTCTTAGGTTACCATTAGTAGCACTGTGCTGTTGTCTTAAGATTTATTCTTAGGGCACTCCATCTAAACCTACTCTCTGGCTAAGAAGTAATTCGGTCACTGACTTGTTTCCATACGGGGTCCAATCTAAGTTTATAATAGACCCCATGCTACATAATCTTCTTTCAGTAATCCCCAGACATTAAGCATCTATAATGTGGTCCTTTCTTATAAAAGCATTGTCTCCTTTGAAGTTAGGTCAATAGGCAGTATGCCTCTTTCCGACAGGATCTTCAGCAGCACGGTTTTATCCTACACCACTCAGAAATGGCAAATGCCTGAAATCACTCCCTCCGATGGAGAGTTATTTGTGCTTGGAACTAGACTAAGTCCTGCATTTCTCCAGCTTCTTTTCCAGAAAGATTTTCAGATATTATCAAACATGGAGAATGAAATCACACCGCACACACTATTCCTACTTCACTGATATTTCTGCTGGAAGAGATCTGGAAAAGAAGTGTGCCATGGAGTCCCTGTATGTATCCAGTCTTGACCCTTGCATAATATTGAAGCAGCACAGAAAAAACCTATGATATGGTCTCTTGTGGTAATGTTCAAAGAGACTCTTCCTGGACTTTTTATTCTGAACATCTCTACCTTGGCTATTAGTCTGGCAGCTGTGTCAAAGATTCCTTGTACCAGTCCATGCCAGGTCTTAGAGATGGAAAACTTCTGTCTGGACTTAAGATAGTCTGTCAGATCAGCCCATCCATCAACAGGCCTTGAGCAAGGTTCCTTCTTCTTCAGCAGACTGTTTCCCCCACCCTACACCCTTCATCTGTGCTTCTGAAAAAACCCTGAAAGCTGAGCCTTGCTGGTTTTGCCTGTGCCTCAACCTTATCCTTCAAAGGGAAAAGGCAGTTTATGCACAGTGCTTGAAAATACTGTTTTTGCAGGTGCTTCTTCAGCAGAGCAGGATCACCTCCACTTTACCTACATGCTGTTCTTTCTAAGCCAGCGATAAAGAGGACAAAGTCCTCAATAGGAGGAAGTAGGTGCTCTGCTCCCACCTACATAAAGAGAAAATTACATTGGGGTGGCTTACTTTTCCAAATATTTTCTGATCTTTTCTAGTCTGCTAGGAAAGTTGGAAAGCTGAATCTGTCTTTCATTTGGATTGTTTTTTATTACACTTTAGAACATACGCTCATTATGCATTTGGCTTCTCATAGTGATTTTGTTCTACAGTTCTCAACTGGTGATTGTATTTTAATGTGTTTATAATTTTAACTATTTCTTTACTAACCTATTGAATTTATTTTGATGTTGTATACTACCTGAAGATGTTTTGCATGAGAGGTGGCATATAAAAGTATTACAAATAAATGAAACATAAAATGAATGCCAGCAATTCCTTTACAACTAGTCTGAAACCCTTTTTATTAATCAGTGGGAATCTCTTCTGGATGAATGTAATTACGAGCTATGTAGGCTGCCCTTGACAACGTGATCTTGCCCATACTGCTTTCCTCTCTTCCTAGTTCCAGTTCCTCCAAAATCTGTTACTTCCCTGATGATGAACAAAGATGGCTTCCTTGGTGGTGTGTCTGTGAACACAGGCGAAGTGTTTTGTTCAGTACCTGGGAGACTCTCCTTGCTCAGTTCGACGTCCAAATACAAAGTCACTGTTGGAGAAGTTCAACGGCGCCTTTCACCTCCAGAGTGCTTAAATGCTTCTCTCCTTGGAGGAGTCCTTAGAAGGTAAGTCATGGGACAGTCCAGTCTGTATTTTCTGGTGGGATTAAAATTGTATTAACATTGTTATAAGCAGCTGTTGAGATTAAGAGAGATGAGGGAACACACATATGAGATATACCTAACAGTCTGGATGCCATCACCATTGGCACTGATGACATTGTGCCAATCTCACTATTGTAGTGCATTGTTCATTAATTCTGTGGGACTGACCACTGTCTTTAAATAATCAGACTGGTTATTTCTGTAGTTGAGTTCAGCTCAACATCCTGGAGTTTATCTTTTAAAGCACCTTGCAGCTTTAAAAGTACATAGTACTCCTATATGGAGCTGCCTAGATGCTAAGAAGATATAGGTGACAAATGGCAAAAAAGCGTTTTTACTAAAGCCCAACCTTTACTGCTCACCCAGGGAGGCTGGGTAGGTGCGGACGGAGTCTCTAAGGTCAGCTGGATGCTGGATGAAGGCCCATTTATTTAGAAGGCATTGAAGTTGCTGTGTTATCATCTGCCTTAAAGGAGGTGGCTGTGTACATTGTTCCTATTTTTATTTCTGACCGTTGTTGTAAGCTATGCTACAAACTGTCTGGAAGTTTTAACTGAATGTTACAGTTGGATTAATTTTAAATAATTAATGGTTATAGATTTTATAATTTGCTATTCAGTTTGGTATATTGTACTAGTGGAGAATGAGGGAGCAGGAGATGAGGTTTCAGATGCATTAGATGACTTAAGCAATCATTTAAAATTCTGTTCCTCTCCCCAAGAAGGAATTTATAATATTCATTTATTTTACATGGTTGCTGTAAGAATTTGCACAATATATGAAGAGTTAAATACCAAATATATATGGCAATGATTGTAAACTATGAAGAAGTAACTTTTTGATTTTTTTTGCACTCTCCTTAATTTTAATTCATCCCTCATTAGGTTTCATTGAAATATGCCTCTGGTTCTTTAAGAATATCACAAGTATGACAGCATTATTGGGCAGACGTTATTATTGGGACTTACAGAATGCAAGTCTCTCATGAAAAGCCCTTGAGTAAACATAGATATGGGGTAAGAGTACTGTCTTATGAATTAGAATGAATGGATAAAATAGGGCTGGACAGTTCCACAATAGAAAAGAGTAATCAGTGGGGTTCTCTGAGGACTTGAATTAGGACCAGTGCTTCTCAGTTGGTTCAAAAACAACTTATAGATATGTGACCAAATAAGACATAAAACCATTGAAAACAAAAAAAGATGAATAAAAGCTTTGAATGGGTACTTTTAAACTGGAGAAATGGCTATAAAATGTTATTCATTGTAAATAAAGGTAAAGTGATGCACACGGAGATGGGGAGAACTGTATTATTATATATAAGGTGAGAATAATCAAGAATACAATCTTTTTACAATGTCTAGCTGAAATATGGAATTCATTATCACAGGGTTACTGTTGTGGTTGGCTTTAAAAGATTAGAAAAAATATTTATTTCTTAGATTTATATCCTGGTTTTCCTTCAAAGAGCATTCACAGCTATCCTTCCTCCATTTTCCCTACAACACAACCCTGCTAAGTAGGTTGGGCTGAGAGACTGACTGGCCCCAAGTCACTCAGTGAGCTGTTCACAGCTATCCTTCCTCCATTTTCCCTACAACACAACCCTGCTAAGTAGGTTGGGCTGAGAGACTGACTGGCCCCAAGTCACTCAGTGAGCTGTTCACAGCTATCCTTCCTCCATTTTCCCTACAACACAACCCTGCTAAGTAGGTTGGGCTGAGAGACTGACTGGCCCCAAGTCACTCAGTGAGCTGTTCACAGCTATCCTTCCTCCATTTTCCCTACAACACAACCCTGCTAAGTAGGTTGGGCTGAGAGACTGACTGGCCCCAAGTCACTCAGTGAGCTG